AAGTGATGTTTACAAACAAATTTCGGGAGGAGCATGCACGGATAATTAACACGGCCAGTTCATCATTAGTGATTACACCATGTATCCAATCGGCGCAAGAGAAAACTCCCATAAATAACCAAGTACGCCCTACCTTCGTTATCTCTCGACTTTCAGCATCCCTCCGCCACCCCGACCTCGCACCTTCAGCATAGTTTCTACCCCAGCACGGGGAGAAGCATTCGGGGGGAGCGTTTTTTAGGCCGGGCTGAACACCGAGCTCGGACCCCTCTCCCCGGACAGGGGGGGGTGCCCCGGGCTCGGGAGTCTTGCCGAGCTCGGAGCCCTCTCCCTGGACAGCACGCCAAATACGCATAACCTTTATTAATTATAAGAAAGTGTGAACTCGTGAAGTGATATTTACAAACAAATTTCGGGAGGAGCACGCACGGATAATTAACACGGCCAGTTCATCATTAGTGATTACACTATTTATCCAATCAGCGCAAGAGAAAACTCCCATAAATAACCAAGTACGCCCTACCTTCGTTATCTCTCGACTTTCATCCCTCCGCCACCCCGACCTCGCACCTTCAGCATAGTTTCTACCCCAGCACGGGGAGAAGCACTCGGGGGGGGGAGCGCTTTTTTGGGCCGGGCTGAACACCGAGCTCGGACCCCTCTCCCCGGACAGGGGGGGGTGCCCCGGGCTCGGGAGTCTTGCCGAGCTCGGAGCCCTCTCCCTGGACAGCACGCCAAATACGCATAACCTTTATTAATTATAAGAAAGTGTGAACTCGTGAAAACCTCTTTTCAACAGCGGTAGAGCTGTCCTGAAAAGTGCTCTAAAAATCCCTCCTATCCCCGAACCATACATAACCGGTCCGCCTGCATATCCCGGTAACCCGTTACCGGCTTGGTTCCGGTAGTATGCGACTCGTTCCGGGTCCATAGTTGTGCAATAGTTTTGTTAAAACAAAAACCTATTTCACCTGTCTGAAGTGAAGTTTAGCCACAACTTTACCGTAAGTGAAACGTACGTGCTTGTTCTTGTCGTCTTTAACCTCGATGCAAATGTCTGTAATATTAGATTTACTCACAGCTACGTAATGTGGTTTATCGAATCTAACACTGATGATGTCATTAGATGCCCCGTCTATATGTACAGTTCTCAGTAGTGGTACATATGATCCACCGACTGCTTGATACTCGATCATATCAGTGTATATATACATACTATAAAATGCCCCTCTTATGATGCGGTGATGCGGTGCATACGTCACAACAGGTGCACCATCAAAATGAGCGTTGTGAGGTTGATTTACAGATCCTAGACGGTTTTAATGTTTTAATCCTAAAATAATAGCCAACTTCCCGTAAAATACCAAAGATGTGTTCGCCGGTGCTTTTAGAAATATCCTATTTTTGATGTGGTCATACCCAAGAGTCACTCGCGGTGGTAGATTAGCATTTATTTCTCTAACCAGAAACAGTACATCCTCGTAATATCCCGGTTTTAACGTATTACATACTTTAGATATGTTTTGAAGGTTTTTTTCTTTAATGTAGATAATCACACCCTCACCCTCTTCGTAATTTTTCTCATCATAACCCAGTATATTGGGGGCGGTGTTAATAATAAATGGTGCATCCTCCTCATTAAAAGTGTACCAGGAAATAGGGTAGTAAAATTCGATTAATCCGACTTCCCATTGACCTTTGAGGTTCATGCTTTTCGCTAGTCTTGTTTTGTAATTAGAAATACTATTATCAGGATATACATCCATTGATGCGTTGCATGGTAGCGTAACGTAAAATCCTCCCTCGCCCATGATACAGATTTTCACAAATGCTGCTTATGACAACCACATAGTTACTTTAAGGGATTCTGTATGTCCGCGATCTCCCGTTCTGGCAGCCATGAGGAAAATTTAGGTGGCCATCCCCACCATTTGACAAGACAAAGCACTTTTTTCAATCTAAAATCTTTTCTATTTTAAACAACTTATCTTGATTCACAATAATTTTTTGTAATTCTTTTTTAGCACCCTTCGATAACCTCTCCATCGTAATCTTGTAATCTGTACACAGGTGGTGTCCGAGGTATACACGCGGCTTTAGTGAAAAACTCTTCGGTGTAATTCTGTTCGTACCCCTTAGAAAATACGTTTCTAACTTTAGTTACCCTAACAACATTACCTATTTTATACCTAAAGACAGTTGGGCCTTTATGCAGCTTTCCGTACAAATGATTAAACACGACCGCTTCATTTTCTTTATGAACGTCTAAAGGCCGCATTTTAATGCTTTTGTGATAACTTGCGTTATATCCGTCTATAAGATCTTGTAAGATATCGTAGTAACGCTTTGAATTGATGGCTGTTAAAAATCTAGCCATTCTTGATCGAAGAGTCCGGTTAAAACGTTCAACTACGGATGCTTTTACATCACTTGCTGTAGCGAAATGATGTATGTTATGCTTTTTCATCAGTTGTTGGAAATGTTTGTTAAAAAATTCAGTGCCTTTATCGGTCTGTAATTTTTGCGGTCCGCGGTTTTCTTTGAGTATAGATGCGAACGCTTTCGTAATCTCCGGCCCTGTCTTATTCTTCAGCGGACGTGCCCAAACGTACTTACTGAAAACGTCTATGCAAGTCAGTAAAAATTTTATATCGTTGTTTTCTTTCGAATAAGCAGTCATGTCAACCAGATCTGCTTGAAACTGTACATCTTTCCCATACACCATTACTCAATTCCGCTTGTATTTAATAGGTGCGGTTCTGTGTAATGTGCAAGCATCCTGAGCGGATAACCAATCTGACACTTCTTTATCCTTCAGAGTTACACCGTATTCCTGTAACACACCCCGTTTTAAGCGCTCTTTACCCCCCAAAGACCCGGGGTTCGTAGGGTTGTAGTACACTTTTTTCATTAATTCAGACATCTCACCCCCACTGTTTTTCAGAAAATAATGACAGAGTGATTAGCGTCAAAAGGTTTTTATTTGCAATAGAGGCCACACAAACGTTAAATATGATTGGTTGTACAATAACATTATATATCATCTAGATAACGAAGGAATTTCAGGCACATTACAAAATTTTTCACTATCATGTATTCAACTAATATGTCAATAATTTTACATACATCCAACGGATCGTTTCTTGACAACAACATTACACACACATCGGTTACATAAGTACAGAGACATAAAATGTTACCTATTTTAAGACTTTCTTCACATTCAGGCATGTGTTCGAGAATGTTTTTAACAGTCATACGGGGGTTATAACCGTTTGCGATACATTGGGTTGTCATAACACACCAATCGTTCGACATACCCCTCACAATACACATTTGATTTTTTAATTTCGTTAAACGTTTATTATCCACATAACATTCACGCTCAGCATCGGTAATCTTATACAATAAACATATTATCTCGCTCTTAATTCGTTGTTTAAATAAGAGTTTTGTCAGCCAGGTCATGTTGCAGAGGTTTCCCATGGCATTGGTTAGTCAGAGTCCGTAGGTGAACTCTTCTTCCAGCTGTCAACCGCGTCGTAAACGGCCTGCTCGCAGGTTTCATCCACAAGTTTCGTCCTGAGTTCAGCCAAGCCTTCCACTATGTACATCTCATCTCTGAGCTCACACAGAACGGCGTCGACAACACCCTGAATTCTTTGCAGATGCGGTGTTAAACCGAACAGCTTCAAGGTTCGGGCCAGAATGAGGTTTAGATCAGGTTTAGACAGTTTATGCGACAGTTGTTCAAAACACCCCAGAAAATAGTACGCAGGTGCCTCATAGAGACATGAATGTTGTGTTTGCGAAGGATGATCGACCTGACAACCATAACAATCTTTCTTCAGCTGTCTGTCAACCAGATGCTTCAGAATTATGGCAACAACAGCTTTAATGAGCTTATGACAGGTCACACCGATGCAGCCGTCGACTGTGTCCGAGACGGCTTCAGAAGTTGTAGCAGAGGGTCATCGCACCAGTCTTTTAGATCACGCCAGACATAGTTGTAAAATAAACACCAATCTTTTATGGTGAAAAACAGCTCAGGGTTGTCGCACGTGTCGTAAGTGAACCTCTCATCATTGTCCACGGTACTCAGTCTGACCTCCCGGTTGCTCTTGTCAAAGTTGTAACTGTAAATACGGTTACCGGATAAATGAAACTCATACTTAACATTATCCAAAGTTTCGTGGAGGAATTTGGCCAGACACGGACCATGTTTCAACTTCCTCGGTGCCAGCATAAGATCGCGCATAGCAAACTCAACACTATTCTCAGGAGTTTTAGGGGATGATGCCTCAGCCATTGTTACAGAATAATATCCTGTTTTTCCAATTCACAAAAGCACCGTTTGTATTTTGCGTCTAGGTAAGGATGTTATTCTCAACAGAAACCCTTTTAAACACGTTACAATCCCGTTTTGGGTGATTAACACACCACCGTTGTTAGGGGTTGGGTTTGTAGGTGTGACCTGAGAGGTGCGCTCCTGAGCTCATTCCGTGTTTTGACTGCTACGTGTGAGGATGAACTGACGGAAAACATCTTAAGATGTTTTTTTTTTTGTTTTGTTTAACTTGTGAAAAACTCTTAACTAGTTTTAAATTGTAATGGTAGAGTGCAACATAGACTTTGCCAAGTATCTTATTGCTTAACGGTCTGATATTTTTTGTTTTTGTTTTAGATGGTAAGATAAGTCAGCATTTTTTCTTTCTTTTCTAACCGGTAACAAACTCTCAAACCTTTAAAAACGTAACTGCCGTATTGTTTAACGAACGTATCTGACGCTTTTTGTTTTCGATCACGGTGAGATGTCATAATTTTTTCTTTTCTTTTCTAACCGGTAACAAACTCTCAAACCTTTAAAAACGTAACTGCCGTATTGTTTAACGAACGTATCTGACGCTTTTTGTTTTCGATCACGGTGAGATGTCATAATTTTTTCTTTTCTTTTCTAACAGGTAACAAACTCTCAAACATTTAAATTGTAATGTTACAAGATTTTGACTGCACGTACTTTTTAACAAACTATCTGGTACTTTTTGTTTCAGATCATGGTGAGAAGTCATAATTTTTATTTCATTTTCTAACTGGTAACAAACTCTAAATAGTTTTTAAATTGTAACAGAAAAACCGCCGTATTGTTTAACGAACTATCTGATACTTTTCTCTTTTTTTTGTTTTGTTTAGATAGATGGAAAGCGGCCTAGTTTTATTTTTATTTTCTAACTTGTAACAAACTCTAACTAGTTTTTAAATTAACAACACTTAAATATTCATCTTAACCCCCCTGGTTTTTACTCTTTTCTGGAAACACAGACATTACATTGTTTATATATTTTTTATATAGTTTGATGTTTTTCTTGAAAAGTATGTGTGTGTGTGTGTGAAAACTTTAATAAAAACTTCCCTTATCCCCGTTTAATAAGCATACCACGTTTCACAATTTAAAGTTTAAAGCACACAGTTAAAAACAGTTTCAATAAACCCACACAAAAAACACTTTCCCAAACAATCATAAATTCCATGGGATCATTGGGGTGGCCGGTTTAGATGGGTGGGGGTGTACAGAAACAGGTGTCCAAACAGGTGTCCATTTATGGTAGGAAGAGGGGGGTTTATGAGGGACAATAAATAAATTGTTTTGTTATATAGTAGCCTATACTCTCTCTCAATGTCCATCTGAAATACATATGAAATCAATATCCATTTGAAATACATTATGAAAACAATGTACATCTGAAATACATGATTTACGAAAACGTTCATCTAAAATACATGATTATTCTAAAATGTTCATCTGAAATACATGATTTATGAAAACAATGTCCATCTCAAATACATGATTTATGAAAACAATATCCATCTGAAATACAAGATTTATGAAAACAATGTCCTTTTGAAACACATGATTTATGAAAATGTTCATCTGAAATTCATGATTTGTGAAAATATTCATCTGAAATACGATTTCTGAAGACAATGTCCATTTGAAATACCTGATTTATGAAAACAATGTACATCTGAAATACATGATTTATGAAAATGTCCATCTGGAAAACATTTATGAAAACAATATGCATCTGAAATACCCGATTTATGAAAATGTACATCTGAAATGCATGATTTATGAAAACAATGTCCATCTCAAACACGATTATGAAAATGTCCATCTGAAAAATATGATTTATGAAAATGTTCATGGGGTTTGAGAGGGAACGCATGGGGTTGGAAGGAGAACGGACGAATGCGAGGGGTTTGAAGACAAACAAGCAAATGGGGTCCCTTTTTGCTTACCCTGAAGCCCCACTGCACAAGCGAAAGGGATGAGTTTGAGGGAGGGGAAACACGTGGGGTTTTAAAGCAAGTGACTGAGGAAACGCATGCAGTTTGAGAGTGAACGAGAGTGGTTTCAGGGCGAACAAGCGAATGCGGTCCCTCATTTGCTTACCCTGAAGCCCCATTGCGTAAGCAAACGAGTGAGGGAAAGCAATGGAAAACCGCATGCCTTCTGTCAGTCGCTTGGTCTAAAACGCCATGTTTCCCCAGACTCAAAACTTCTCGTGTTTGTTGATTCGCCCTTAAACCCCTCACGTTAACTCACCCACAAAACTCCAAATGTTCGCTCACGCAATGGGTTTTAAGGTAAGCAAATGAGGGATGCATTCGCTCGTTCGCCCTGAAACCGCTATCGTTCGCTCGTTCAATCTGAAATCGCATGCTTTCCTTCAATTGCTTGCTCAAAAATCCCTTGTATTCGCTCATTCAACCTCAAACCCCTTGCGTTTCCTCAATTGCTTGCTCTAAAATCCCTTGCATTCGCTCATTAACTGAACTGAAGGAGTGCATGGGATATGAGAGTGAACGAGCGAATGCGAGTGGTTTGAAAACGACTGAACAAATGCGCTCCCTCCTCATTGATTACCTTAAAAGCCCATTGCGTGAGCTTACGTGAAGACTTGAGGGCGAGTGAGCATGAGGGGTTTAGGGCGAATCAACAAACATGAGATGTTTTGAGGGTGGGGAAATACATGGGGTGTTAGACCAAGCGACTGAGGGTACGCATGCGGTTTGAGGGCAAACGAGCGAATATGGTCCCTCATTGCTTACTCTAAAAACCCATTTCGTGAGTGAATGCGAAGAGTTTTGAAGGAGGGGAAACAAGCAGTTTTACGGCAAATAAGCAAACGCAAGAAGATTCACGGCAAAGAAGTGAAGGAAATCAATGGGTTAGAGGTTGAACGAGCGAATGCAAAGGATTTTAGAGCAAGCAATTGAGGGAACGCAAGGGGTTTGAGAGTGAACGAGCGAATGAGCGAATGCAAGGGATTTTTGAGCAAGCGACAGAGAATGTATGCGATTTGAGTGAACGAGTGAATGCGAGGGGTTTAAGGGCGAACGAGCGAATGCATTCCCTCATTTGCTTATCCTAAAAACCCACTGCGTAAGCGAACGGGACGAGTATTGAGGGAGGGGAAAAGCATGGGGTTTTAGACTGAGCGACTGAGGGAGTGCATGGGGTTTGAGGGTAAACGAGCGAATGCAAGGGATTTTGAGCAAGCGACTGAGGGAACGCATGCGGTTTGAGCGTGAACGAGCATGGTTTCAGGGCGAACGAGCGAATGCATCCCTCATTTGCTTACCCTGAAGCCCCACTGCATAAATGAACAGGATGAGTTTTGAGGGAGGGGAAAAAGCATGGGGTTTTAGACCGAGCGACTGAGGGAGTGCATGGGGTTTGAGGGTAAACGAGCGAATGCAAGGGATTTTGAGCAAGCGACTGAGGGAACGCATGCGGTTTGAGCGTGAACGAGCATGGTTTCACGGCGAACGAGCGAATGCATCCCTCATTTGCTTACCCTGAAGCCCCACTGCATAAATGAACAGGATGAGTTTTGAGGGAGGGGAAAAAGCATGGGGTTTTACACCAAGCAACTGAGGGAACGCATGCGGTTTGAGAGTGAACGAGCGAACGAGAGTGGTTTCAGGGCGAACGAGTGAATGCGGTCACTCATTTGCTTAACCTAAAATCCCATTTCGTGAGTGAATGTGAGTTTTGTGAGCGAGTGAACAGGACGAGTTTTGAGGGAGGGGAAAAAGCATGGGGTTTTAGAACAAGCGACTGAGGGAGTGCATGGGGTTTGAGGGTTAACGAGCGAAAGCAAGGCATTTTAGAGCAAGTAATTGAGGGAACGCAAGGGGTTTGAGGTTGAATGAGCGAATGCAAGGGATTTTTGAGCAAGCGACTGAGGGAACGCATGCGGTTTGAGCGTGAACGAGCATGGTTTCAGGGCGAACGAGCGAATGCATCCCTCATTTGCTTACCCTGAAGCCCCACTGCATAAATGAACAGGATGAGTTTTGAGGGAGGGGAAAAAGCATGGGGTTTTACACCAAGCAACTGAGGGAACGCATGCGGTTTGAGAGTGAACAAGCGAACGAGAGTGGTTTCAGGGCGAACGAGTGAATGCGGACACTCATTTGCTTAACCTAAAATCCCATTTCGTGAGTGAATGTGAGTTTTGTGAGCGAGTGAACAGGACGAGTTTTGAGGGAGGGGAAAAAGCATGGGGTTTTAGAACAAGCGACTGAGGGAGTGCATGGGGTTTGAGGGTTAACGAGCGAAAGCAAGGCATTTTAGAGCAAGTAATTGAGGGAACGCAAGGGGTTTGAGGTTGAATGAGCGAATGCAAGGGATTTTTGAGCAAGCAATTGAGGGAACGCATGCGGTTTGAGAGTGAATGAGCGAATGAGAGTGGTTTCAGGGCGAACGAGTGAATGCATCCTTCATTTGCTTACCCTAAAATCCCATTTTGTGAGGGAACAAGAGGAGTTTCGAAAGAGGGGAAAAGCAAGGAGTTTTACAGAAAATAAACCCGAGAAGATTTAGGGCAAACAAGTGAAGGAAAGCATTGGGTTTGAGGGGGAAGAGGGTGAATGAGCGAATGCAAGGGATTTTTGAGCAAGCAATTGAGGGAACGCATGCGATTTGAGAGTGAACGAGCGAATGCGAGGGGTTTAAGGGCAAACGAGCGAATAAGGTCCCTCATTCCCGAATGAGAATTGAGGGAGCGGAAAAAGCATGGGGTTTTAGAACAAGCGACTGAGGGAGTGCATGGGGTTTGAGGGTAAACGAGCGAATGCAAGGGATTTTAGAGCAAGCAATTGAGGAAACGCAAGGGGTTTGATGTTGAATTTGTTTAACCTAAAATCCCATTTCGTGAGTGAATGGGAGTTTTGTGAGCGAGCGAACAGGACGAGTTTTGAGGGAGGGGAAAAAGCATGGGGTTTTAGACCAAGCGACTGAGGGAGTGCATGGGGTTTGAGGGTAAACGAG